TTCAAACTACTTTTAGTGATAAGTAAACATTTTGCCATATGCTCAGGTTATTTTATCAATGCTTTATTACTTTTATTTATTTTCCGACTTTGAGTACGAATATTTCTGAGTACGAACCATCGCATTGTTTTGATGATTACTTTCTATGTAACTGCTTTTATCTTATATTATTATGATTTTCAGATGCCATTTGTATATATAAATGTTTATTATCTATTCTTAAATGCTGACATACGTTTATTTTCATCTAATCTTGCTTAATATTTGGTCACATTTCTGAATTTGCCACTGGTCGGCCATTTTGAATATTAATGTGATGACGTCACAGGGTACTATAAATACTGCGCGTTAGCATATCGTTGTCATCTCAATTCAGGTCGTCTGGTAGAAAAGTTCTCTATTGAGTAGATTATTTTAGACGATTAAATTACCGAAAATGGACCAGTTACAGGTGAAATTCACTTGTTGTTATTGTTAAACAGTTATAATTACTTTGCCAGTGTAGAGAACGGTTGTCCCAGAAATGGTTCATACCAAATCTGGTATAATACCCAATCCGGTATAGTACCCAATCTGGTAACTACCAGATCTGGTATCTCATTATATTGTACCAAACCTGGTACTTGTTTACTGAAATCTGGTCATCTATAGGAATAATAATAATAGACTTTTAGGCATCCATGACTATGTATATTTAAATAAATTAATCTATATAATATTTTAATTAAAAGAGTTTTAAGTTACAAAATGCCTTATGTGTTCATTTATAATTTGGTACTTGGGCCGTGTAAAACGAACCCTGAGTTAATGTGAGGCTGCAGACTGCCCTGGAAACATTAAGCAGGGGTCTGGGCACCACAATATGAATTCAATATGAGATATTTTAAGCGTGCATGTAGCGTTTATTCTTTTTAAATGACATAAGGTCTACAAGGACAGGTTCAATTAAATAAACATGAGTAGAATCACAGGCGTTCCGTAAGCTAGCTGGATAGCTTCCTCACATGAAAGAATCCAAAGCCCCTGTTGGGATTTGAACCAAAATTAGAGGCAAGTGATTTGAGGCACGATCTAAATCACTCGGACACAGACGCCCCCTTTTAATGTTATGATAGTTTAAACATGAATAGAAAATGTCCCACCTACATATCAATTGTTATAGTAGGTTTTATTTCCAGGTCATTAAAAGGAACATTGATAAAGCCGTACAGTGAAAAGGCAGGATTTGGAACACATCCCGGTGGATTATTACAGGTGTGTTATGATTTTGTTAGCATTGCAACTTTGAAATATGTGAATTTGTTAACAGATACTGTGATAATTTCGATTTAATCAATAAAATTTCATTCTTAATGATATAAAGTTCGTCTTTTTTCTCATTCGCGCACAGTATTTAATATAAATTTACTGCTTGATGAATTCCAAAAAGATTGTATCAAAATATTTTATTTCAAATACCTCTTCTTTAGATTGTTGACGGAATTGACAGAATGAGGTTTTTCATTCTAACTTTCAATGATATTGAGCCAAAAGCCTTCTTTTTAATTCTTCTTCATTTAGAATGATCAGAAAAAGTGCAATCCTATCGGATTTAAGATGGATTGGTTATCACTGGTTCCGAAGAACTTGATTTTTTCCAGTAATTTATACATAATGGAAAGCAGATTTGGCATGTATTAGGATAACCCAATAATCATTTTTGATGGCGTACAACCAGGGATGGGTAAACTGTAAAATTAATTTCTCAAAATAACGACATCTCAAAATGGAACTGTACAGCATACACTAGTAGAGTTTTGTGTATTGTACCGAGGATCGACAAAATTAACTTGCGATGAGTCCGTAATCCCAAATAATCTAAATTCAACTCACATTTTTAACTTTACTTATGTTTAAGATTAATGAATTTTCGGACGAATTGGAAGGACAATATTCATGTTTTGCGACAACTTCTGCTGGAACAGCTGAACACACGTTTGAGTATAGGATTGCAGAGAATTGTAACGTCAGTAAGTTAAAAGTATTTAATTTAGCAAAATTACAAAGAATTTAATGTATTTCAAATTATATAAAATATTTTAAGGCAAATATATCGAAGTGAAGATAAACTGAAGTTTTTTTAAGCAAACAGCAACACATGTGGTCTTTGTCAAAATTATTCAATTGCAATGACACTATCAAATTGTATAAAAATGTTCATATTTGCGTGTAAACATTGCACCATGACAGAGACTGAAAAAAAATTTACATCTTTATTTTTTTATACTTTTAAAAAAATAAGTTATTATTCAGCGGTCTAATTAAATCTAATTGACCGACTGAATGTGGAATATTATCATTTTATCGAATCGCTAAAATCTAATCTGCAATATTTTTACAAACGCACATTAAAGAAAGTGTTAGATGGATTGCGGTTGCATGCTCTTTTCCCTATCGTCCAGGGACATATTCTGTCAACCTGAACCTGATATATTTTCAATTTTGCCGTTTTTGGCGTTCGTTAAGAACTATTTTCACCATTTATCTGACTGCTTAAAGTTTTCTGTAAATGTAACATGAATTGTTGCTGTTTAATAGAATGCATCATCTGCTTGAATTATTGTGACGTTTAAAAGTTGACTAAGTCAAATTAAGTATTTTCTGGTCGTTTGGTTGTTTTTGACATTATTTGGCATATTCAAATTTACCAGGAATATTCTCTGGACCTGTGTCAAAGATAAAAAAGAAAAATAAACCAGCTTTACTACAATGCAGGGTGGACCATCGGGCAAAAGAAGTTCGATGGAAGAAAGATGGAGTTTACATTGATTATAGAAAAAATGATAGAATCCAGGTATGTTTCCATTTTTATTTGGAAAAAAGGTCAATTTAGTACGTATTTCCATACGTTTTGCAAATCTTAATAATCTTCGGCGTCTTCGAATTGTTAAGCTCAATCTTTAATAGATAGAAAGGCATTAAACGAAATGGGTTAGATTTTAATTGCAATATTTTACATTTATTGAAATTAAGTAACTGAGTATAATAATAATATTATCAAATATATAATAAACATAATAAAATAATCTTGATATTTCATTAATTGGAAACTGTCATTGAGATATAATACTGTATGTTCCACAGTGCTTACATATTGGTTGATAGGGATATTGGTAAGAGTATTTTTTTTTCGAAGCCATTCATTTGTATTTATGAACTTTTATGTGTCTATACAGTATGGCTAAAATTACAGTGATAATACAGTTTTTAAAGATCACGAGATGAAATAAAATATATCTTACACAACAAACAAACAAATTTTCTTTTTATTTTATGCTTAAAAGCAAGTTTTAATAAAATTTCCTCAATATAAACTTTAATATTGAAATCTGTTTTCCCCACTGATAGCCTCATTTTTAATCGAATGTCTCATAAATACAAGCAGTCTTTAGCTAAAAAATAAGTTCGATAATCAACGTTAAATTGCGATGATATTATTTGATTTATTACAAAAACACGCATGAACGTTTGTTTTGATAATAAAAAAACAAAAAATTCCAGTAGAAGAAAAAGTAACAATATCCGACATAATTATGGTTACTTACGGCGAATTAATATAAGACCAGGCTTTGAGTATTATAAGCAGCCGCATGGAGGAAAATGATTGTGTTTGATTAAGACCGATATCAATTTGGATTTGTTAGTCATACATCTTTTTATAAGAAAGAAAATACTTGAGGATTGTTACAGATAATAAATAATTGTTGACAGATGTATAAACCTACAAAAAGCGGCTAGGAATTTGGAAAACATTTAACTGTTGAAAGGCTGTCTTACGAACGCTTAGTTGTTAACTTATTCTTCCGGCTGACGACTGTCATTGCTTTTCAAGTTTTCATATTGCATTAGACAGTTATTGCTCGTATGATACTTAAATATGCCCAAATGTCATCAAGAACAGTTTTACATGTGGAATAAAGTGTATCCTACAGACTGTAAAAATAAATCCGATATTTTGTGATTTGTAATTTGTGTGAATTGAAGTTATTTCTATAATCTGTTTATTGCTGTTGAAATTTAAGTTATTTATCAATTTCAGCTTTGGTTTCTTTTAAACAACCCTGACAATGTCAGAATTGTCAGCAAAAATAAAATTAAGGTACCACATGGGAAATTTAAAAAAAAGAGTCTCGTCATTGAAAAGTGTGAAATTATATTTTGCTAACTTTCACTGAAATTATCACATATAATTTTCACGGATAAATCAGTAATCCACTCAAAGCATAAAATAAAATATTGTTTCGTGTCAACAAATCGGAGAAAATTACCAGGGCGAAAAAAAAGTTCGATTTTATTAGCTCGTTAGACATTCATTTGATCTATGTTTTCTTCAATAGATTCCAGATATGAAATACTGGCAAATATCAACTAATTATCTTTGATGTATTGTCTTATTTGCTCAAAGAAGAAACTGTTATTGCAAGTATAAATAATGCAATTTCTTTATAAAATTCTGGAAACAAATTGATCCCTCGGAATGTTAATCACAACAAAATTACAAGAGAATTGCAGACTCGGTTTGATTGAGTCTGTATACATGAGGGATAATGAATAAGTGCAACATCCCTCACGCCCCCTAGTTAATAAGTCTTGTAAAAATATCAGAAAGAAATCGACAGTTGTCTTGAACCTCACCTCAAGAAATCGCATTTATTCAGAAAGTTAGACAAACAATACACTTGTTCAGCGATAAAAATTCACACATCTATTGTTCTGGATATAGCCAATAGTGTAAATATACTGTACTGTTATAATAAACGAACTCAAGTCATAAATCAACATTTGAGTCGGTTTCTGATGTTTGGCGTATTATTTAAAAAATAATTATACAGATATGATGCTTTGTAAGTGACTTAATAAATTTTAATAAGTAAATTTCTGATATCAACTAAAATAAAGGTAATATTGGACTCGATATTGAATTATCACAATAGTGCAAACGCTGGAAGTTTATCTGTTCAGTCATATAAGGTGCAAATAATAATCAATTATTATCATAATTATTATTATTATTATTATTACTTAGAAATTTGCATAGTCAAATCGAATGTGGAAATAAAAACAAATACCGTTCTTTCTCACAGTTGAATGTAAATGTTTTTATTCATACTTTGAATTCATCTTAGACACTACTATTTTCATATTAATATAAATGTCACCCATGTTTTAAATGACAATCAATGAAAACAGCAGAAACTGTAATTGTAATTAGGTGGTCTGTTCTCGCAGCGAAATTAAATTTAATGACATCATATGAGAAAAGTCTGACGAACAATACGTGTTTACCTTTATCACAAAACTGTACCTTCTTGCGACTTTTAAAAACGGCTGTCCAAGACTCGTATCAACTCGTGAAATCATTTTTGAACCTATATTCATTAATTATCTTCTATTCATAATTTCTCTCGTGAGCAAAAGTGATTTTTCTACAAAAAGAACGTGATATATTATTTTTCTTGATTCTTGTAAATACCTCATATGTGGCATGTATTAAGAGATATATAAAACCAAATCCAGGTCAAATTAATGTCATATGAGCTGAGAAATCAGATTATTTCCCCTGAAAATTTTCGTTGAATTTATTTTGATTCAAAACACGATTTTACGGTACCATACCGTGCTATTTGTCCTAACTACCCCATGTTTTTTTTACCTAAAATGCGAACAGATTGTTATAATGCATTCGCTATACAAATAGTTCATTATTCTATCGGTCAAGACTTAATCTTTTTCTTTTACAGAAAATGGGTAATAACTACCTACATATCTTAAACGTTACAATGCAGGACGCGGGAGTTTACCAGTGCGAGGCCGAAGACGAAAGCGGTTGCTATAGTTATAAGGAAGGCAAACTTCAGGTGGTAGACGCAAAGCCTTCCAGTTCACGTATGTGTTTTCATTTCCAATTTATAAGTTTTTTTTTGTAACTTAGATTCATATAGTTTTAATCTGTTATTTAAGGATTTTTTTCAGAACAGTATTACATGTGTTGATTTTCATGTAACAATTGATTCGCAATATGAAAAACACGACACGACTCAGTAACACAGGACTACCGACAGGAGCAGGATACCAAACAAAAACAGGACAGGGCACGATAAAGCACTATTGGGGTATTATATAATTCAGAGTTAGGAATTTCCATCGATCCGTTTCAAAAACATTTACCCATTTTGATTTTCTGCAACTAGAAATCAATTTTGAGGACGAATTTTAAATTTTGACATTAAACAATGTCATTTAGATATGAAAAGGGCATTCAATATTTAATACTTTAAATAGAATGTATTTATAAAACATCATTAGGTCAATATGTAGTTTTAAACAAGAAATCTGCTTCGAAAGTGTGAATTTGATTTATTGTCCGCAATTAGATCTATTCTAAATTGTCACATTATAGCTTTCACTTAAGGGTTTACTTTAAAATATATTTATTTAAGTGATTATATTTTGCCAACACGTTTATTTTCTAGAAACATCGGTGAAGTTTTAAGTATACTATTTATATTAATACCAATTTAGTTCAAAATGCCAAAAACTCATCCCAAGAATATCTGTACCTTTGGAAAAATGAAAATAATAAACTCAACTCATAAAACCGTTTTCTTACTAGACTGTGGAATATCCGTTCATGATGAGGTAAAAATACAGTCAAGAATTTCAAAGGGAAATGAAGTACCCCCTAAATTGTATCCATGGCATGTTACAATCAGATCTACAGGAGTAAGTAAAACGATATATTATTAAGAATGTTTAAAGTGTGAAGCAAAATATATAATCTCTCAAGAAATTAAAATACCCAAAATGTCACATGTTCATTTAGCTATTAATCTCTCTGTTTTTGTATTGTACATGCTCATTCATAATTTATAATTTTAGATTTAGATTTTATTACAAAATACACGTGGGCATTATACCCATAAGTACACAGCATACATACATACATACATACATACATACATACAGACAGACAGACAGACAGGCAGAGACATTTTAACATTTTAGTATAACATTTACAGTTTATTTGAGACATAAGTTTGGTTTAAAAGGACATATTCATGATATTACAGCAAGTTTTAAATGAAGCACTAGTTTTGCATAATGATATCAATTAATTAACATTAAATTTACCTTACTTGATAATATAATTTACGAGTATTCAACATTTGTTCTTAATTCAAAAGTTTTAAAGATAAACATTGATAATGTTCTTATAATATTATCATTTTGAGATGCTAACAATTCAATATTTTTTTTGTTTATAACGTCTGTTATTTATAAGTGTTTTTTTCAAAACATTTCACTGTGAACATTCTAAAAATACATTATTTTTGAGCAAATATTGCATTTTCTTTCATTATAAGGATAGGCCATCTTCCAAATACTACTTTTAATCTATATGAAGATGTCCTGAAACGTGATTTCCTAACCTTTTTCAATTTTAACCATTGTGAGATATGAGTTAAAACTAAAATCACAAAATAAGACATCACTTCTTGCTCTAGATGAATCTCTAAGTGTTGCATACAAATTTTGTATAAATGTATCTGTTAATATTTGTTTTACTACTGCTAAAATATATTAACATCTGATACACCATGATTAATCCATACTTCATTGAAAGCTAACAAAAACACAACAGACGTAGCCTAGAACATCGAATTTGGTCTAAGTTCTAAATCTCTACACAAAAGATTATACAGTGTACACAACTTTGTACGAAAGACCGGTAGGGCCATTTCAACTTCATGAATTCTCGATTTCAAATCTTGAAGTTCAAATCGGGAATTCATGAAGTTGAAATTGGGAATTCATGAAGTTGAAATGTCCATATCGGGCTTTCGTTACTTTAACAATTTTTGTACTGCTTAACTGAACACTTTTTAACCAGAACTTTATAACGTTAATAGCTCTCATTGTTTTTAAAGGTACCTTTCCTAGTTCACCATAGATAATATTGTTTTGTACCGCGTCTTTGCCCATTCCGATGTAATCAGAAAATTTGGTTTCTCTAAATATTGAATGCCACCAAATACTGTTTCCACAATAAAAGTGAATGTTGAGGTGCTGCTTTTTGTGAATTCGGATAGAAATTGTTGTTTCAAAAGTCATATTAAAAGATACGTCTCCACAAATAACAATGCCTTGATACGTAAACTTTTTAATTTTTTCAAGTGCTTTATAATGAAAATTCAAATTCTATCTAAGTCTACCCTCTTATTTTAAAAATCAAAACCTTTGTTTTTGTACACTTGACACTTAATTTCCTCCTATCATAATATATTTCTAACTTTCTTTATCCTTTTTGTAAGCCCTTCTCAGTTTCAGACATAATCATTATATCATCTGCGTATAACAATAAAAATATGTAAATTCCCAAGTCGCTACCTTCAAAACAATTTACCATAAAAGTTTCTTCTATACCGTTTAAATTCATAGAAAATAAAAACGGCAAGAGAGATTCGTCTTGTCTTATTCCTATGTTACATACACATTCTTCTCTAATAGTATTATAGTATTTTACTCATGATCTTGATCTTACATGCTCCTACATAGACCTAATAATATCTAACAATATCTAACTTTGGATAATAACAATATGACTATTCTCGTGATGCTTGATTTGTCTGCTGCTCTTTTGATACAATTGATCACGGAACACGCTCCTTCGCCGCCTTGAACGACACTTTGGAATTACAGGCAAGCCACGCGCATGGATGACGTCATACCTGACCGACCGATACCAGACTGTATGCATAAACAACAAACTATCACAGCCAGTCCACATGGAGTACAGTGTACCTCAAGGGTCTGTCGGAGAAATCTGCCGTAAACATGAGCTAAACAACCATTTCTTCGCAGATGACTCACAACTCTATCTATCCTTCAAACCAGTGACTAGTATTTCAATTCAAGAGAATATAAACCGTATTGAAAGATGTCTTGATGATATTGTAAGTTGGATGAATGCCAACATGCTGAAGCTAAACGGCGAAAAAACAGAGTTTATCATCTTCTCATCTGAACATAACGCACAACCTGTTTCAGATGTTACAGTAACAGTCGACGGTTCGAAAATTAACCAATCATCTAGTTTGCGCAATCTTGGTGCATTTCTTGACTCGAACATGAGGATGGAACATGTAAATAATTCCTGTAGAAACTGTTATGCACAATTAAGACGAATTGGTCACATCAGACCCTATCTTACTGTTAAAGCAATCAAATCTCTAGTAAATTCACTTGTAACCTCTAGGTTAGACTACTGTAATGCACTGTTATATGGAGTCTCTAAGCAGTCAATGACCAAGTTACAACATATTCAAAACACAGCAGCTAGAATTGTGACCAAAACACTCAAATATGACCACATAACACCTATCTTGCGTGAACTTCACTGGCTTCCGGTAGAGTATCGGGTCGAATATAAAATTTTGACTTATACATATAAATCCCTCATCGATCAATCACCAGCCTATACAAAAGACATGATAGACGTGTACATCCCAGTCAGGAATATGAGGTCCCAGAATAACTCAATGACATTAGTTGTGCCTAAATCTCGGACAGTACGTTATGGTGACAAGTGCTTCCAGACAGCCGCAGCAAAATTATGCAATGCGTTACCACCTGGCATTAGAGACATTAATACCTTGCCAAGTTTTAAGAGAGCCCTCAAAACACATTATTTCATAAAGTTCTATGGACATTAGTTTCATAAAACAACATACATGTACTACTTTTGCTATATTATCAGTGTAAATTGTGTGTTTGATTTTATGTCTTAGGGTTTATAATTCGTTTCTTTTTTACTTTTTTTTTCTTTTTTTTAACAATCTTATTTCGTTCAAATCTTTTATAGGATTTTTTTAAATTGAGTCTTGATTTTAAAGTAAATGTGTCTGTATTTCTTAACATCCTTTACTAGTTTTAGATTATCATTATTGTTTAATAGGTTTACTTAGTTAATATTGTACATGATGTATATATATACATACATATATATATATGTATATATATGATTATGTTTTATCAGATTTATGTAAAACACTCTTGAACATATATTATTTATGAAAAGAGTCACTTCAAATTTAATTACTTTATACAAAAATACATCTCTATTCAAATAATCAAAAGCTTTAGTGAAATCCACAAAAAACATCATACAACATTGTCTTATTATTTAATAAATGTTTTATAATACCATGTAATATAAACACCAATCAATAGTTCTAACGTTTCGTTCTAAAACTAGCCTGGGATTCACATTGTATTTTTCAGCCCAAATGTTTAAACGTTCATTTATTACTTTCGTTAAAAGTTTCCAAAAGATGCTAAGATGGTTTATACCCCTATAACTGTTAGGGTCATCTATATCCCAAATTTTTATAAATAGGTCAAAATAAAACCTTCTGTCAAACTTATAACCTATATAATAACAATAACCTATATCAAACATTTTATTAAACAAAGAAACTATAACCTGTAGAAAGTGATCAAAATCAGATCCAAACTTGAAATACTCAATTAGTAAATAATCAGGCCAAGCTGATTTACAAGCATTTATCTGTTTGCAAGCATTGAAAATTTCAGTACCAGTGAAAGGAACATTAAGTTCTGAGAACATAACGTTTTATGTGTTTTACATTAATTATCGTGAATGTTTATGTTTTAAAAATATGTAAAAAGCTTGTTATTTAATCTTATTATCACTCAAGGGCCAACGTCCGAGGCTTATGAGACACTTCGTTTTATGTACATATTTACTCCAATTTCACGATCCAATTTAATGTTTGTAAAATATGTAACATTAAATGCTATTCTATTACTTATGAATTGTAGTACGATAGATAGATGTAGTAATACGTTGTACTACGGAGAGGCAGGGATTGGCACGGTCTTATACGGTTTATTGCGTTGCATCACGAAACGGTACGGACTTGTACGGTCCACCACTGTTTAGTACGGATAAATTAATTATCATGTACTTTTTCAAGGGTACTAATTTCTTGTTAAAAACAGACATATTTGCGGGAACATTCAATAAATGGTAATTGCCATTTACAGGCTGCAATTTTATATTGAAATAGCTCAGAATGCAGACGCAGTGGTCGAGCTGCTTGATGACATGCACAGACTCTGAGGTAAAATATATTAATATCGTACTACAATTCATAAGTAATAGATTCACTATACAATTTAATGTTACACATTGTACAAACATTGGATCGTGAAATTTGATTAAATATGTACATAAAACGAAGTGTCTCATAAGCCTTTGACACTGGCCCTTGAGTGATAAGAAGATTAATTAACGAGCTTTTTACATATTTTTTAAAACGTAAACATTCACGATAATTAATGTAATTGTAAAATGAACAGCAAATTTTAAAATTAAAAGAGAAGAAGTATTGATCAACATATTTCTTTAATGATTACTAGTCCATATCTAATCAGGTAAGAGAAGACAGACGAGATGGTTAACTAGAGATGGACTTTTACGAAGACCCATTCATGTTTAGTATGAGACTCTCATGGCCGAACTTGTTGAGGAATCAGCGTCCTTCAAGAAATTCCCTTTAATCGCACCTGATGTGTCTCGGGGGTCGGACGCGATCAGGCCGAATCCTCTCCGCCAAAATCATTAAACTCTGCAATTCGTTGTCCAGGTGTTTTTTGTGAGGCATTTTGGAAATGAGCATGCAAGAGCACAGGTGGCAGTATCAGTGTTTGGACACCCCACCCCTATTTTTTGAATTGTCGTAGCCATTTTGCAGTCTGATACCTGGGTTGAAATACGCGATCTGATTGGACGAGCCAAATTTGACGTCCAATCAGATCGCGTATAACACACCGGTATCAGAATCCAAAATGGCAGCGACAAGTAAAAAATTACCGTGAAATAGAAAAAATCGATAGAATATTGATATTCGTTAAACTTGATTAAAGTAAGCTGTGGAATTCAAGTTCTTTTTATTGATATAAATGAATAATGCAGCAAAATGCCTTCGGAATGCGCCTCAGTCGCCGAAACGACGATTTCCCGTGTTCCACATTGTTTGGCAAATGAACATAT